CAACTGGACTAGATAACAGCTGACTGTTTCATTTGCAGTCCAGGCGGACACCTGATTGGACAAGGCAAAAAGAAAGAGGAGAATTCAGTGGGACTGGGACAATTTGAAAGCAGAAACTGGTATTGAATACCCGAGGATTTCCGTGACACTTTGCATTTCAACTCAGTTTTTAAAGGATCGCGGTGCAAGAAGTTCAAAGTTATTCAATAAAAAGCAATAATTGTCGCCCATTCATCTGCTGGGAATTCATCAGGCTGTGTTTTGGTTCGTTTTTTATCTTCATGTTTCTTAGGAAAAACTTTTGGCACCATACTTTCATTGGGTGTTTGGATTCCACAAAGTCTCGAAGCCAATTGCCCGTTAAACTAAGTTCTGTCCGAGATAAATCTACTCTCCCGGGGGAATTTTTTCTACAGATAAAAAATGCTGAAACGTTAATGAGGAGTTGCAATGCGCCAAATCAAAAACGGCAATAAAATAGAACTAGCTATAAAATAGAATTTACTGTAAAATAGATCTTCTATGTAAAATTTGAGTTTCATATCTAATTTCCAATTTTCTGCCCACAAAATATTACCTTTTCTTCGGCTACGTTATCTCGACGAGATTTTCAATCAAATGGCCGCCGTCTCGGGGATTTTTTAGCCATTAATAATTGATTATCATTCGATTTCAAAGAATACGAAGTTGTACTGACTCTTTCTAGTTGTTATTTGAATCAAAACGGCTGCGGTAATCAATCAATTATCAATTCTAATAACTAAATGTTAAACAGAAATCACATATTTCTGCACGGAATTTCTTTTTTTGTCGTTTTGGATTTCTTTCATCGCAACTCCACATGAACGACTTAACATTTTGAATTCTTTCACAAGAATCCCCCCGGGAAGCAAATTTGTCTTGGACAGAACTTACTATGGTTTCGTTTGATTAATTTTGGTTTTTCTTGTAATAACATATTTTGCAATAGGATGGGTAGAGTTCAAACTTGAATACTTATGCAATTCAAGATGAAAATACAAAGAAATGATAAACCAGTTACAGTAAGCATTTTGCGATTGGATTGGAAAAACTTTCACTTTGTATCGCATGGATTTTGCATCGAATTCATCGCCAAAATAAATTATCATACACCTTATTACCATTAAAAAAAAAAACACATTCGAGCAAACAAATTTAAAAATAAGTTAAACCCTGGGTACTTCTTTAGTATCTGGCGGGGATAGCGATTTTGCCAATTCTGTTTTAGTTTTTGAGAAAATTCTTGTTAGTAACTTTTCTTTTTTTGGTTCTTATCGTGTCGAATCAAAGGAATACCGTTGTACTTCCAGGGAAAATGGTTCGATAATGTGGAATAAATTGTTCATCAAAGTTGAAAAACGACGAATTGGCAAAAGTTTCTTTTTGTTTTGTGACAGTAATCAATTGCACAGATGATGAAATGAGTGGTCTCGGTGAAAGAATAGAGGTCAACCAAGTAGCGTCTTTTCTAAAATGCACCTATTTTCTTAAAAGCTACCCTTGACTACCGACAGTGTGGAGGTTTCTATGTGTTTGATTGAAAGCTACCGTACCACGGAGGTTAAGAAACGACTTGCGATGACATGGTAAGTAAAAATATTTAAAAAATTTGCCTAAAAAAGTTCACATTAACCAGTGGTTTATTGTGTTTTGAAGAAATATTTGAACTAGTTTGAACTCAAGAAATATTTGTATGTGGCACTATAGGAGCACATGACGTCTGGCTGAAACGGAACATCGATTAAGGGCTTTCAATAAGGGCGAAGCGTGTAGAAGGTGTTTATCTGTTCCTTGGTCACAACTCTTAGCTGACCGAATGCAAAATTTCTGGCGTCAGGTTGAACAAAACAAAAAATCAATTCTTGAACAAAACCTATGTACTGATTTTAAATTGGCTTTGATTTAATAGTTAGAAAATACAGTCCCAAAAAATTGGCAAAGTGCATAATTGTCCCAATTTTCTTATCTCATTTCAAAGTTGATCCTTTTCAGAATGGCGTCGCCGTTTGTTGTGCGCAAACGCCAACTTAAATGATGGTTTCTGTGTGAATGGCTCAGACTTCTGTAACTGAAAAACGAGAATTTCCCCTGAGTGTTATTCTTGATTTATGTCTTTTCTTCTATAAACCGAATTGAAAGATGCTTTTCGCTAAAACGATGAATGCAATCAGATTTTGGGTGTCGAGTTAGAGCTCTTGGTGACCATTGTACTCTTGACGGATTGAGAAGAAATTGAGTTGAACTTTTCTTTTTCACTCGATGAAGACACCTTCTTTTTCAGGTATACCATGTTTATATAACTAAACAAAGGTATCGAAGTTAAGACTGAGAAAGTGCGACAAAACCTCAGTCCAAGCGTGTAAATACATATGGAGACGTTTGAGTTCACTTGCAATGCCACATTCGATAAGTAGTAGCCAAAGAAAGGATACTGTACCATGGTGATCAGACTCGAGACGAAATAATTCATAAAGTAGTATGTTGAGCTACCAATCATCTGAAAAGCGTTTTGTGACTCGTTTGGTATCTTCAGATCTCTTTAATTGAAAGAGTCAAGACTGTTAGATTAAAAAACTGTTTTGGCAAACAGAAGGCACTTTTGATTACCTTTTTCAACTAAATTTTCAAGTAACCAATTTTGCATTAAATGTCTTGAGCCTGAACCAACCTGAATCATTAAACGTCTCTCCGCCTTTGAAGCTGCTTTGGAGTTATTCAGCTAAGTCTCACATTTTTTGAGAATCATTACTTCAACCTACTTTTCGAAGCTTTGAAAAAGTGAAAAGATCCATTGTAAACATGAAATATGCCAGAATTGGCATCACATACATATTCGCAATTGTACCATCTGCAAAAGCTGATACGCAGAAAAGAGAAATCGCTCCCGAATAGCAAATGAGAAACTGGAGGACGGCGTGTTTTGTTGTATACCTGAAAAACATTCCCTGGAAAGAAACGGCCATGAAACGACTAAAAACATTTTTTCGAAAGTAATGCACGTTTTTGAAACCTGATTGAGACAAACATCTGACAAAATGCGTTCACGATGAGCAAATTCCGGCCATTGGAGAGAATAAAAGCGGCCATGCCATCATTTACACATCTGCAATTGTAATTTCTTTAAGGGGATTCTCGTTTAAAGTAAATGATTCACTTGGCTCAATATATAATGCATATACTCAAAACAAAGCGGTTGGTATACGATTTTTCATCTAAAGCTAACCGGTCCAACTAGTAGCAAGGAAAATTGTCAGATTCTTGGGAAATCTTCGAGAAAAAGATTCTTTATGCTTCATTCAAAAAGCGGAAATATTTTTGATGGCTTTATCCACATACCAGGTAAAAGTCAGGTATTTCATCTGAAAGCAGAAAATTTGAGCCAATCCATTGATTTCTTGCACTATCTCAAGCCAATTCTCAGGTATTTTGTTTGTAATAACCTTAACAACAAGACTATTAAGTAGAGGCTTGAAGTATCATACACAAGTCTCATAAGGTTTTTTTACCCATGTTTCGAAAAGACTGTGCACAAGTAGTTCGTCATTTGAATTATCGTAAAGACCAATCGTTGCACATTTTCGCCCGTTAGGATTAGCCTAAAAAGTTCTTTTTTGAAACATGCAACCAAATTTATACTGTAGCTATCTAAATGCCTTGATCATTAAACTTGAGACTTCAGTAAAGTTACAGTAACTTACCGAACACTCAGCAATAAGTCATCATTTTTGGCCGAGTAATAAATCGCGAAAAGGTTTGTGAAAATGGCAACGAAAAGTACCTGCATGCAAATGAGTTTTATGCTTTTTGTAACAAAATTCACCAAGGCGCTTCCTGATCCCAAAAAAGCTCCAAATCGCTGAAGTGTATCCAGGCTGATCTCAAGGAGTCCTGGCTGAGTTGGGTCTGATTGGAAGCTGACGGCACGTTTAATCATTAGATCCAACTTGATCATTTGGCAAACATTACCGAGAGCTGGAATTGGAAGTAGAGCATTGTTTTTATAAGAAAAAATGATCAAGATATGTTCACCAACAAGCTTTGGTACTTTAGGATCATACAAGATCAGACTGGTAAATTCTCCGTAGGCTGAGGGAAGTACCCAAGCTCCCACTTACTATTAGACTTCGCTTAAACTACGGTATAGCCTAAAAAGTCTAGCTTTGGACAACATCTCAATATTTTCTTGTACGGACGCAATAAACAGAGTTAAATTTTCTTCTTAAACTTTTCCGTTGCTCCAGTTTTGGTTATGCAATTCCAGTATGAGTTGGAAAAACTAAGACAATTAATTGACGTCAGAAAAGCCTCCAATGTTCAGATAGAAATTTCGGGTATGAAAGTACCAGTTTATTTGATTTTGGAGCTCAATAAAATGTTCTATTAGGGTGAACCAAAAGTTTCCTATTTTTTTTTCTCTTTAAGTTTGAACAATTTTTTAAAACTAATAAATTTGTTTTATATATACGTGCCATATTTATTGGGTTGGGGAGAATGAGTCGGCGCCAAACTTTAAAGGGACTTTTTGCACACATAAAGCCTTCTTTAAACATACGTTTGGTTTCATCAAAAGGATCGCTGCGTTGTTTACTCTTTGAGAACAATGGAAACATTACCCTGGCTAGAAAACTTAAAAATCTTTCGAAATGAACTTGCCCGAGCTTGATGCCACAGCAGCCATAGAAAAAGAAATCTTTGTTATCTAGCTGTTTTAAAGCACCATAAGTGTCGTCCTTACCGCTGGGCTAACCAGTATATAGAAGGCGTTTCTAGGAAAGCCGAAATGGAAGAGTACACGGCCACCACTTTCATCGATAAGGCTCGTTTCGAACTGGTCAAATCGGCCCCGGAACTTGGCCAATCTGCTGAAAAGGTTTGGCTGGCTGCGGCGTACGCCGTTAAGGAACTCTATCTTTCTTGTGGTGGTATCGATTTGAAATCGCATAATGCCCTCAATTTATTTTGCAACTTTGCTATTTCCAATGCTGGATTGTCCTTTGGTCGTAAACACTATTTGCGTGGCCGTTGCTGGGATAAAGTGCGGGAGTGAGTAACTTTTAACGGATTGTATTTGAAATTGCTATTACTAATTACGAATGAATTTTTAGGCTGCGCCGAGACGTCTATGGCTCTGGCAAATTTCATGAGAGTGAATATGCGCAGATCATCTCAGATGTTGAAGTTTTTGTGCGCGAGTTGGCAACCTTCGATCGCCCGAAACTTTGGACCGTATTTGAGAAGGAGTACATTCTTGGAACAATTGAGAAAGTAAAAGTTGAGAAGGTCGCAGGCAACATTAAGCTTGGAGGTCATATTTTCGAGTGTCATTATTCTGTTGATCTTTAGTTGTCTTTGCTAGAATCATGAATTGCAACTTTTCCTTCCAATAAACATGTTTTAAAATTGTCCAATATCAGGGTTTTGGTTACATTATTCTGTATTACCTGGAATAGTAGTATTTTTTTTTCTCTCTCCCCCCTTGGGGGCGCTACTATTAGAGGTAAAAACGAGCCGCATAAAAACGAGCTTTTTTTAAAAAATGAAGTTATGCTAAAATTTCAACATTTTTACTTGTAAAATCGCGTTTTCTTTAAGTTTTTAAGGGTAGATAAGAATTTTTAAAGATTTTTTTTTGATATATTTTCCTTTGTTAATCCGATGAACCACCGTTCCTCAAGGTCGGCACCGAGGTCTCTCCGAAATTCAAAGGAGGTTGCTGCGAGGCGAAAGTAAAACGGATATTCAAGAACATCAAATTTCGGGTGAGTGAGCTTTGCTTGAGTTCAACGTCCCGTTATCAAGGGGAAAAGATATCTTTTATCGTTTCCCGTCACTCGGAAACGTTGGAATATTTTGTCTTGATGTCTTGATTTTTGTGTGTTTGCACTAGAAAATGATGGCTTTTGTTGGTAGTGGCTAACCAATCTTTGACTCTGGTGATGGGGTTCAAAAAGATTAAAAAAATTGGCCTTTACCAAGAAAAATTGGATTTTCATCGTTAAACTTTAAAACTTTAAACTTCGTTCCAGCTAATCGCTTTTCCCACAAAATCTAACGATTTTTTTTATCGGGCTCTCTTTTTTTTCTCTTGGTGATTTCCCCCCTCTTGTTTTTCTGGTAGAAAGCTAGGAAGAAGTTGCATTTTTTTGGAAAGCGAACCAAAATTCGAAATTTCTTCCTAGATTTTAAAGAGTCAGTCACCTTTATGGACTAATTATGAAATTTTAGGCAAAGTCGCTACGAAGAATGAAACGAAAAGGACAATCATAGATGGGGATTAGGATGGGCGAAGAACGGTAAAAAAGTGTGTCTTGGAAAGATTAAAATGAAGGCTGATCCTTAGAATAAGTACACAAGAGAACGGTAAAAGTAGACTTGTCTAATGAGTATTCGTCATGTGGCAATCTCTTTCTTTCAGAAACTGTCCGTCAAAAACGAGCCGCCGCTCAGGCTGCTGCAGCCGCGCTGGCCGATCAACATGGCGGATTATCTCCGTCGATGAAAAAAATCATGAAGATGACGTGGAAGATGAGGATGAGAATAATACGAGTGATGAGACGGGAGACGAATCACACAGTGACAATGAGATGTGAGTGGGCAAAAGCTGTAGTTTTTTGTCTAAACAAAGATTGAGGTCAGAGACTGAGGCTCTTATTAAAGCTTTAGAAGTAAAAAAAGATGCAAATGGGCCTAGTAACATTGTCCACTTTCAGAAAAGAGGCAACTCCCGAGAAATCTGCAGCAAAATCCCAAGAAAGTGACAAGGACAAAGAAAAAGACAAAGAACCCAAGAAAAAGACGACTGGCTTTGTGAGGAAAATATTTAAAATTTTAAGTTTAACATGTTTAGGCTCCTGGCGATTTGGTGATGGTGTGCAGAGATCCAAAAAAGACGGGAACTTACTCGCTGGCTGTTGTCGTCAATCCAAAGGTTGATTTATTTTATGTAAAAACTCCAAATTGTCGTTTTAGATTTACAAAGCGTTGAAAGCGATGAAACCGTTGACGGGAAACGACATCCCTTTGAGGGGATTCATGTTGGAGGGACGATAGTGAGTGGTTTTCAAGGAAAAATGAGACGTAAAGTTAAATTAGGCTAAGAATTTTCGTCGACAAGTTCTTGCTAACTAAATTTTTATGAAAGCTATGAAAGCTTATCCTGCTAAAATTATCCTAGTTAAGCAAGCCTTGGCTTCTTTGCTGAAGAACAACGTTATTTCGACCCATCTTAACAATTTTCTTTAGTTTCTCGGTGTCACGCCTTGTTCTCAAGCCATTCACCGCGAAACCATTGGCCGGATTCGAGAAAGAACCACATAAGACAGCCTACAATCGAACAAAGGATTTCTTGGAATGTATCTTTTAGCAAAATCTCTAATTGAACTCGATTTTAGCCAAAGGAAAAACTTTGCCGCCATCATGGAATCACAAAGAACAAATCTTGACCGAGTCAACGATGAAGAAGAAAAAGGACAGAGAGACGGAGAAAGAAAGGGACAAGGATAAGGACAAAGAGTGGGTTTAATTGAAGGTTAACTAAACTTTGAAGGTTTACAATTGGATTCTTACAAATTAAACAGGTTTGACCTACCAACTACAATTCGGCGTAAAAATTTAACTATAGAATGAGTACATTACCTTAAATTAACTTTAAAGTTAACTATTCTTTTTTGAAGGGGCAGTCTAACAATTCTATTAATTTTAAGCTCAAATTTTAGTGCCACTTCCGACAGTGATTCTGAGGATTCGGAGGAAACGACTGACGATGAAACGGATAAAAAAATTTGATCAAGCTCGTGATACTTTTGTCGCCCATTTCTACAAGTTTCAAGAAGAGTCTGTTTAAAAGTTTTACCTTTACCAATTTATTTTTAGCCACTCCGATCAACAAACAGCCGGTGCTTGGTGGGAAACCGCTCAACATCTACAAATTCTATCGGTTTCGTGGAGGGATTTCATTTGATTTCATGCACATTGTAAAAATTGGTTTATCGGGTAGCAGAACTGTAAAGTCCACTGGGGCGTAAAATCAAATTTTACGAAAATGAACGGCTAGTTGATAAATTCTCTACTAAACGCGGTGTTAGCAACTCTCGAAGGTTTCAAGATTTTTGCTTCAAGACTAGACTCAAAATGAAGTCTCTGCCCCATCTGTGCTGATCCACGAGAAGTGGCCATACCGGTTGGGGTTCCCATCTTCACAACCTGAGAATATCTCTAGACTGTATTAGCATCGGCTTGTATTAGCAGTTTCACCTTTTCAGCCAGCTCGAATGCCTTTGAGTCCATATCAACTGCGATCAACAAGGCGTTGCGTTCCTTGATTAGCTTATTAACTTGTTGCAAATTCTCTTCGACTGGTTGTTCCGCGAGGTCTAATACCGGGTTGAACTCCAGTTGCATCGCGAATCGCTTCTGTGTGAGTACGGGCAAGGCCGGCTTCGGTTTGATCTTCGCCGTCATTTGCTCCATCTCCAGGAGGTGAGCCTCCAATTGCTCCAGATTCGACCTCTCTCCTGTGGATATGCCTAAATAAGACAATGCAGCAGAAAATATTGGTAGAAAATAAAAGAAAAAGATAAGAAAACTACCCTTAACAGCTCTTCTAAACGAAATAACCAATTTTTCATTCACAAACCACAGAATTTCGTGTAAAGATTGTGACCTTTTTTTTGACAGAAATCTTATTTTGTATCTTTAGGTTGTTCATCGTCTTGGCGGATTGAAGCAAGTGTGTGCGAAGGCAAAAAGGGAAAAAGGTTACTTTATTAGTGCAATTGAATGTTTAAATCTTTACAGGTTTTAATGCGGATGAAGCTAGAGGGATGTCCGGGTGCCACACCGTCCACCTTCAAATCCCCCTATCATCAGTGGGTTTGGTTTATAGGGGTAGATGATTTTTTTTGCAATTTAAGCAGCTTAAATAGTTAAAAATGTTCAAATTTTTGCGGTTCTCATCAAAATTGCTTTAATATCCTATTGTTGAGGAACCTTTACCTTAAAATAGTCAATTTTTGCTGAAACATTTATAGAAACGGCTATTTCATTCAAATCATTTAGTTTATATTCTACCCCTTTTCAGGTACTTTCTCTTGTTCAGTCAACAGCACACTCGTCGTTTGGGCTGGTCATTGAGCGAATTGACGATGCCGGCCGGAAGAAGACCAGGACGATTACGGTTACGACAAATGGGCAAAGGAAAGGAAAAAGAGAAGGAGAAGATGGAGAAAGGCGAGAAGGAGAAAGAAAAGGACAAGGATAAGGTGAAGATTGTGAAATGACTAAATGAAATTTAAGTGAGATCGACAAAAATGAGTTTAATTTTTTAGACGAAACCCCGAAAGATGTCCGTGGATGTCCGTGAGAAGAAGGACAAAAATGATGATCGGTCAGAGAAAGAAATGAGTGAATCGTCGACAAAACCGGAGAAAGTCAAGGAGAAGCCAGAGATCACACATCAACACCAACAACAACAATCAAACAAGCTTGCGAAAAAGTTGGATGATGAGGAAAAGGGTAAGCAAGTGGGGGGAGGGTTTACTTGAGAAATTATGTTGAATGTTTTAGAAAAACTATCGGTAAAGGACAAGGAGAAAAAGGAAGAACTGGCGAAAGCAGCAAAAATCAAAAGGTAAAAATTAAATGATTTGCCTTAAATTTATATTTATTTCTTTCAGAGAACACATCTCTCCGTCACCGGCTCGTTCAACCGCCTCATCGGCGTCCAAAGATGAGAGGAGAAGAAAAAGGAGAGACGAGAAAGCTGTTCGAATACGACAAATCAACAAAAGAAACCATCGAGACATCGAGCTATCGAGGGCCAACACTACTGATGAGTGAGAGTTTTGGCGCCATTTCCGATGATACAATCGTACATAGCTTTGTAAAGGCTCTTGGCGAAGATGATGAAAACGAAATTGAGGATATCGACAGTTTAATTTTTTAACAAAAGTTTTAATTCTTTGAATCTGTATGATGATGCCGAGATTGTTTAAATCAGTTTTTAGTTAATGTTATTGTTTGTTACAATAAACAAATTTGTTAGAAAGCCACTATCAAATAACAAAAAAAAAACATGAGTCTTTGCACCAAAATGAAAGCGGACTTATTTAAGGAACTTTAACCCATTCGAAACCGGAGCGTTTTTTTCGTCTGCGGACCACGCTCTTTTTTGAAAATGTTTTTTCTGCAAATAAATAAAAATAGATTTTTGCAGTGGCGCAGTGGCGCAGTGACCTTTTTTGAAAATTACGAGAATGCGCATAACTAAAAACCTAAAAAATCTTTCGAAAAGTGGTTTTGCTTTTTAAAAACTAAAAGTACTTACCGTAAATACTGTAACTGAAGGGTATGCCCTTTATTTTTCTCCATCATTGGATTTATATAAGCTTTAAGAAGAATTTCAAGAAAGAAACTAAATTTTTTTTATAAAATTTCGATTTCCGTGATCAGCGCTGAAGCTTTCACAAAATGTAACCCTTCTTGCCCGGTGAGTTTTGAGAATTTGAATAAAAGTATCGAAGATTGAGTATAAAAAGAGTGAGTAAAAGAGTGGGATAAAGGTTTATTTCGAAAAATTAGTCTCATTCCCACAATTTTCTCATATCATCTCATCTCAAAAATGTTCATTTTCAGAACAGCGTCGCTGCTTGCTGTGCGACAAACGGCAATATGAATGGTGGTTACTGCGTGAATGGAGCCGCCTTCTGCAACTGAATATCTCTTGAGCCTTATGTTCGATTTTTGCATAAACTGAACTGAATGATGTTTTTCGCGAACAAATGAAATCAGTTTTTGGGTGTCGAGCCCGAGCTCTTCGTCTTGGTGACCATTGTACTCTTGCCGGATTGAGAAGAAGTAGAATTGAATGTTTCTTTTTCACTCGATGAAGACACCTTCTTTTTCAGGTATACCATGTTTATATAACTAAACAAAGGTATCAAAGTTAAGACTGAGAAAGTACGACAAAACCTCAGTCCAAGCGTGTAAATACATGTGGAGACATTTGAGTTCACTTGCAATGCCACACCTGATAAGCAGTAGCCAAAGAATGGATATTGTACAATGGTGATCAGACTTGAGACAAAATAGTTCGAAAAAAGAATGTTGAGTTACCGATCATCTGAAAAGCACTTTGTCACTCGCTTAGTATGTTCCGAAGATCTAATAGAATGGGTCAATGGATAAAAAAAACTATTACAGTTTTGGCAAAAAGAAGCCAATGGAGATTATTATTTTGCTACTCAATTTCCAAGTAACCAATTGATCATTAAGTGTCCCGAGCCTGAACCAACCGGAATCATTAAACGTCTCTCCGCCCTTGAAGCTGCTTTGGAGTTACTCAGCTAAATCTCGCATTTTTTGAGAAATATTACTTCAACTTACTTTTCGGAGCTTTAAAAAAGTGAAAAAATCCATTGTGATCATGAAATATGTCAGGGTTGGTGTCACATAAATATTCACTATCACACTATTTGCAAACACCGATACGCAGAAAAGAGAAATCGTTATCGAATAGCAAATGAGAAACTGGAGTACGGCATGTTTTGTTGTATACTTGTAGAACATTCCATCGAAAGAAACGGCCATTAAGCGACTAAAAACTTTTTTTCGAAAGTAGTGCACTTTTTTGAAACTTGATTGAGACGAACATCTGACAAAATGCGTTCACGACGAACAAACCCCCAAAATTGTTGAAAATAAAACCGGCGATGCCATCCCTTGCACATCTGCAGTTGAAATTTCTTTAAGGGGCAAAGTAAATTAGAAGTAAATAATTCACTTGGCACTATTATATGGCTCAATATATGAACCAAATACTCAAAACAAATCGGTTGGTCTACGATTTTTCATCGAAATCTAAGAACTCCACCTAATAGCAAAGCAAAATTGTCAGAATCGTGAGAAATCTTTGAGAAAAAGATTCTTTATGCTTCATTCAAAAAGCGGAAATATTTTTGATGGCTTTAGCCAGGTGCCAGAAAAAAGCCAGATATTTAATCCTAACTGAAAGCAGAAAATTTGAGCCAATCCATTGATGTCTTACGCTATCTCAATCTAATTCTCAGGTATATTCTTGGTGATAACAATAACAATAACAATAACACTAATAGTCAAGGTTTTGAGTATCATACACAAATCCAATAAGGTTTTTTACCCAGTATTCAAAAAGACTGTGCACAGGCCGGTCGCCATTTTAAATATCGTATAGACGAGTCGTTGCACTTTTTCGCCCGTTAGGATTAGTCTAAAAAGTTTTTTTGTGAGCCTATGCAGATTCATGCTGTAGTTAGCTGAGTGCCTTTAGAATTAAACTTGAGGCTTCAGTAAAGTTACAGTAACTCACCGAACACTCAGCAATAAGTCATCATTTTTGGCCGAGTAATAAATCGCGAAAAGGTTTGTGAACATAAAAAGGATAAATTTGCAATAAAAAGCACCTGCATGCAAATGAGTTTTATCCTTTTTGTAACAAAACTAACCAAGGCGCATCCGGAATTCAAAAAAGCTTGAAATCGCGAAAGTGTATCCGGACTGATCTCAAGGAGTCCCGGTTGAGATGAGTCTGACCCGAAGCTGACGGCACGTTGAGACATTAGATCAACCTTGATCATTTGGCAAACATTGCCGAGAGCTGGAATTGGAAGTAGAGAATTGTTTTTATAGTAAAGAAATGCTCAAAATAAGTCCACCAACAAGTTTAGGTACTTTAGGGTCATATCAAGATCAGACTGGTTCACTTCTTTGTAGTGCAGGCTAGGGAAGTACTCTAGCTCGTACTTACTATTAGACTTCGCCTAAATTACTGTATAGTCTAAAAAGTTTAAACTTTGGGCAATATCTCAGGTAAGAGAGTCTGTCTAGAAGCTGACGGAGGCACGTTGATACATCAGATCAAAAATTATTCCTGGCATGAAAGTACGAGCTTGTTTGATTTTGAAGCTTAAAAAAATGTTCTACCTAGGCCTGACTAGATAAGGGTTGTTTAGAGGCAGGGGCAGAAGGCAAGTTCAAATCAGGAGTCAAGACTGGCCTTGGCTGGCTTGGCTGTGGGTGCTATGGGTCTAAGTTTATTGGAAGCTTGGTTCACAAAAGTCCTTGATCTGACTTCTGGCCTGGCCTGGCTTCTATGTATACCTCTGGCCTGGCGATGAGCCAAAGCCAGATTATTAATTTTGGGAGCCAGAATGAAAGAGTCTGCTTAGAAAAATGGTTATTTGATAGATTTGCACAAGTACATAGAGGAGAAGACTTCTTGCTATGTTTATGGCTATGAATAAATGATACACGCAGTCTGTCCACAAAGCCAACCTGTTATGATCGACCCAACGACAAGCACCTCCAAAATTTCGCGAATCCCCGACCAAAACATTCACTCGTTGTCCTCGTACGTCCCTCGTTGCCTAAAATCGAGTTTTTGGAAACACTTCCCCGTTTTTGTGTACAAAACCAACTGGGGGCGGAGGACGATTGGGTGCAATTTTTGTCAACAGATATGGCAATACAAATTAACCAAAGAGAAATTCGTCAAATATCATGAGATAAGAGGAACCAGATATAAAAAAAAATCGTTCAAATACTTAGTAGATCAAATGGAAAAACTTTTCGGCGTGACGTTGGTCGATGGACAGCCATTCCTGGGTCGGTCCTTATCATCTCCTAATATCTTGTATCGATTAATAGCTTTCCAGACGGTAGATTTGACCTAATCGGTCGTTCTCACAATGCCCATTAAGCTCTTTCCCCATTTGCGTAGCTCCAAGATTACGGTCCTCTTGTTCTTGCGATCCATCCTTCAAATCGGTGACTAAAAAAACTTTAGCTAGTTTTTTTTCAATTAAAAATAAGTTCAAAATACAAATGTTTTTGAATTTTGGTTTCTTGCGATCCATCCTTCAAATCGGAACCCTGTATAGTGTTGCGCTTAATGCATCTTCTTGGCTTGCTAAGACAATACATTAATCTAAGCTGAAAAATAAAAATTAATGATAAAATCTACGTGTTTAAAAAATTAAATAGAATAGAAACCTAGACATTTTTAGAATTTTGAAAAGCCTGGCTGAGCACTCCAAAAAATTAAAAAAAAGTGCCAAAAAAGAATAACGATCATGTTGAAAGTTTTATATGGAATGAATGAAGTTTTAAAAGATCAAAGAATTTCAAAGTCCTTCAATAAAAAGCAATAATTGTCACCGATTTGTCTGTTGGGAATTCATAAGGCTGTGATCTTTTGCTTTTTTTGATCTTAATTTTTTAGGCCATCGGTCACGTCTCGGAAAAAACTTTAATTGGGTGTTAGGAGTTCAAGAACATTCGAAACTAATCTAATCGCTGGTTACAGTAAGTCCTGTCCAAGAAAAATGTACTCCCCCGGGGGAATTCTTTCGACAGAATTAAAAATGTTGAAACGTCAATGAGGAGTTGCAATGAGACAAATCGCAAACGGCAAAAAATAGAACATTTCGATCTTTGATTTTCGTTTTTCGTTTTCTTTTTTTCTTATCGCAACTCCACATGAACGTTTCAATATTTTTAATTCTGTCGAAAGAATTTCTCCGGGAAAACACATTTGTCTCGAACAGGACTTCCTGTAACCGGCGATTAGTTTGAATCACTATTGGAATAACATATTTTTCAACAGGATAATTATAGTTTAAACGTGAGAACTTAATTTAAGATGAAAATAATAATAGATCATGGACCAGTTACAGTATGCGTTTTGCGATTGAATTGGAGAAATTTTCACTTTGAATTGCATGAAAAAAATGTCATTCCAAGAATGCTTCGAAACTAATCGCTGGTTACAGTAAGTCCTGTCCGAGAAAAATATGGTGCCC